CACTTTGGGAGGCTGAAGCAGGTGAATCACCTGAGGTCAGAAGTTTGAGGCCAGCATGGCCAACATAGTGAAACCCCATCTCCACTAAAAGTTCAAAAATTAGCCAGGCATGGTGGTGCACACCTATAATCACAGCTAGCTACTCGGGAGATTGAGGCAGGAGAATTGCTTGAACCCAGGAGGCAGAGGTTGCAGTAAGCTGAGATCGCACCACTGCACTCCCACCTGTATGATAGAGTGAGACTCCATCTAAAAAAAAAAAAAAAAGAGAGAGAAAAAGAAACATCAGCACAAGCTCACTCTCTACCGTGTTACCATATGAGGACACAGCAAGAAGGGGCCCATCTAAAAGCCAGAAAGAGAGACCTCACCTGGAACCAAGTCTGAGCAGCTTTATCCTAGCCTCCAGAACTGTGAAAAATAAACATCTATTATTCATGCCACCCTTGTATTTTGTTATAGCATCCCTAGATGAAAGAGTGGCCATCCCTAGCTGAAATCCACCTTGATTGTCCATGATTTGAGCTGGAATCAAGTGAAATCTCCTAAACATGACATTTATGTGAATCCTTACCTTAAATGCAAATTCTAAATAAGCGCTAACCCTAAACTCTTTCTGTCCAATCTCCCCTTACAATTATACTACTTTGCTTAGGGTAATCTCCATAGTCTACAAAATGTGTGCATTCAAAGGTACAGTAAGAGATTCATGAAACTTGAGAAAGGATGATCCTATGAAGCTAAAATCCATGAACCCAAAGTAGGTGACCTCTGCAAGTGACCACCCCATGAGATGGTCTGTCACTAGTTGAGACTGAAATCATGCACAAGCCTCCCTCAACACACAAGAATCAATTATAAGGAAGATGAGACAGGACAAAAGAAAGGAATTAAAAGTAGCGGGAAAGAAGAGACAAAATTATTGTTATTTGCAAGTGATAGAACCTGTAAATCCAAAAAATATCCACTGGAAAATGATCTGGAGTGTAGTTCGGTAAGATGAACCGTTACGGAGCTAAATACACAGAAATCGGTAGTTCTCTGAGATAACAGCAAAACCTACCAGGGAAAAGATCCTGCTTACAAGGACAACAAAAACTATGAAATGCTTAGAAATAGAACAAAAAGAAATGTGCAAAACCTATATGAAGAAAACTATAAAACCAGCAAACGTCATAAATGCTATAAAAATAATAATACAAAGACGTCAATTCTTCCCCACTGTGCCCCAGTTTATGTATAAATCTAATATAATTCTGCCTGCCCGTGGTGTTCTGTTCTTTCCTTGGGTGTCTTCGATGTTCTATTCTTGGATGTCTGTGAGACCTGCATAATTCTCTCTTTTTTTAGCTAGTATGAGTGGGTTTCTATTCATTGCTCCCAAATGACTAACCCAACCCAGGCTACCTCTTCATCTCTCATGGGCTCATACACCTTGAGTCTCAAATCCTCTCCTGCTTCCTACATCTGTCTTCACATGGGCTTTTGCAGCTTCTTGCAAAAAAAAAAAAAAAAAAGTTTTTAAAGCCTCTTTTGCAGCTTTTACCTGTCACAACACCAGCCTTGCCACAACTTAATGGCTCCCTCACCTCAACTGGCTCAGCTCCCATGATGATTAACTCAGTTTCACCAAAGAAATATTCAGACAGGCCGAGCCCACCCCTTGAGTCAGGCGCCCACCACTGGTCCAACCGGCTGTAGCCAAGGGAAACTGAGTCCCATGGCTTGAGTTGAGTGAGGTGTTGGGCATTGGGTGTTGATAAGGGAAGCCACAGTTTATTCTTTACCACACTGGTTTATCAATAATAATAGCTTCCATTTATTAGACACCTACACTGAGCAAGACGCTCATGCATGTTGCCTCATTCTAAATTCCTAATATTTTGCCAACCACCTTGCCACAACGATTTTATCAATGCTTTGCTGTTAAAGAATCTGGCTAGGCCGGGCGCGGTGGCTCATGCCTGTGATCCCAGCACTTTGGGAGGCCGAGGTGGGTGGATCACGAGGTCAAGAGATCGAGACCATCCTGGTCAACATGGTGAAACCCCGTCTCTACTAAAAATACAAAATATTAGCTGGGCATGGTGGCTCACGCCTGTAATCCCAGCACTTTGGGAGGCCGAGGCAGGTGGATCACGAGGTCAAAAGATCGAGACCATCCTGGTCAACATGGTGAAACCCCGTCTCTACTAAAAATACAAAAATTAGCTGGGCATGGTGGCGCGTGCCTGTAATCCCAGATACTCGGGAGGCTGAGGCAGGAGAATTGCCTGAACCCAGGAGGCAGAGGTTGTGGTGAGCCGAGATGGCGCCATTGCACTCCAGCCTGGGTAACGAGAGCAAAACTCAGTCTCAAAAAAAAAGAAACTGGCTGCGTGAGGTAGATAAGTTCTCTGCAGTCACTTGACTGACTTGTAAGTCAAAGATGGATCCAGTCTCAAGTCTCGAATACCTGGGGTCTTGCCTCCTGGCCTCCCCAGGTTCAGAGAGCAGAGTCACATCCCCGAGGCTGAAGTGCACTGACAAATTCAGCCTCTGGGTTGCCAAAGCTGGGCACCTCTTTCTCAAGGACTTTGCCCAGACACTTCTCCACCAACCACCGCCCTTATTTACCAGGAACTCCTGTCATGGCACTGCCGAGCGTGGCTGTGCCTGGAGAAGACTTGAGTGATTGATTCTCCATGCTCTGCCATGCTGTGCCCCTCCTTCCATTCCAGCATCTGCTTATCTTCATCCCTTCCCCACCAGCCTGACAGCACCTTGACAAGGACTGTCCTGTTTTGCAGCCACTGTACCAAGTCCACATCCACAGCAGGAGTTCAGTGCACATGGCTGATGGGACATTGAATTAGTGCTGCTCCAAATTGCTGGCCCCCTGTAGCACCTCAGGAGTCTCCTTTGTTTACTCTAAGGAAATACTGCAGCCCATGGAAAGGAAAAGATGCTCCCAAGCCTGCAGCCACAATCCCTTGTCCTTCTTCCAGTTTTGTGAGGCCATAGACTCAACATACCCAGTTCCTATGCTGAGGGGGGCACATTGGGAATCTTCCCCATGCTATTAGCTGGAGCTCTAGACCCTCATGAATCCATCTGGGAAGTGAACAGCTAAATTCATCCCTATGGCTCAAAAGAAAGCAGTTACACCCCTGTCCTGTGACTGGAACAAGAGAGGCACATCACAATCTTCGAGGGACCTCTCCAAATTTCACATCTCTCACCCTATTCTCATCCTTCTTCCCCCAATGGGAAAGAATATTCCCAGTCCCTTGGGGACATAAGGAAGAACCACTCCATTGGGATTTTCTGCTCTGCATGAAGAGACCCCTCTAAAGAGAGCATCCTCATTATAAACCAGATTATCTTCCAGAGGGGTCAGTGTGGGGAAAGCCCCGGCCAGAGTGCAGCCAGTACAGGGAGCACCTCTACTTCCTTTATGTGAAATATTCAGAGGATGGGGGTACTTGAATTATGAGATGTGGCAGAATTGATCTGAAATATGTAAATGTTTGTGTTCTTCCTGGTTTACGTTACATTGGTAGCTTAAGGGAATGCCAAGGAAAACTACATCAAGACCCCTCTGATTTCTTCGGCATCCATATCCCCTCTGTCTCAGGAAGCTTTTCCTGGACAGGTCCTGAGGACCCCTCAGACTGTGGTCCTCTTTTCAGTAGGGACCACAGCATTGGGAGTCCCTCAGAGCCCTCTCTGGTTGTCAGGGCTGAAGGGATCCTATTTAGCTCTCCAATGACTGGAAATTGATCAGAGTCTATGAGTTTTTCCTGTCCCTAAAAATTGCAGGGAATTGTCTGGCAGGAGAGATTTCCTTACACAGAAAATATGCACATTTTCAGAGGGATTTTTGATACAGTAAATCACCCAAGCATGCCAGTCTTCCTCTATCTGTGCCCAGGAGACAGTCAAAGGAGCCCTGCGGAAGGAACAGTGGCACCTCTGCCTGCAGTCATTGCCCTGCCTGCACCTAACTCCCACCGTTCCCTACATCCACACACCCATGCACGCAAGTGTGCACATGCACACACACAGCCCCATCCCTCACCCCTTTTCCCATTATTCTTCATGCTCCACCTTGACCCTTTGTTAAGGAGCTGGCAAAGGAAAGACATGGGATGTCCCACAGGGTACACGAGCAGTCATGGAGCATCCCAGGAGGCTGAAGATGAGACGTGACTTACACATCACAATATCATGTGAAAAAGTTCAAACAAAAGCCACAGGTGCCTCCCAAGGTGGGTACCCACTCAACCAACTGGCTCATGAATCAGTGGCGAGGTCCTCTCCATGCAATGGACCTCTCCCCACTGCCTATGAAACCACTTTGGGATTTGCAGAACAGTTTACCTGCAAGGTTTGCAGGAAAAAAAGATGGAGTAGAATAGAAGCCTGATAGCTTCTCTAAATTGCAGGTTGTAATAAATAAGCCTAACAGGTGACACATCACAGCATAGAGGAAGTTGGGGAGTCTGGAGCCACACAAGTGCAGAGCACTGCAGGTGAGCCACAGAATGGCCTGTAACCGCTAGCATGTCCCCTTTGGAGATCTGAAATGGGTCTGCTGAGTAAACCTGGGGACTCTCCAAGCACAGATGCATCACCTTCTCCCTTTTCATTCTCAAATTCACACAGTAACAGAATATAGAGCCGGGGGATCAAAGACTTGAGCACTCTGTGCTGTGTACCTGGATCAGTCATAATTCCCCAGGGAAAATTCTGAGTCTTCGACACCCCAGGATGAGGGCTCTATTCCCGTGGCAAGAAGAAAATATATTGCCATCACCAGCCAGCTGTTAAATCTCTCCAAATTAGAGTCTCCAGGCATGACTCAAAATGGATCTCTCACTCTCAGCAAAAAAATACTCCTAACAGAAGACAACGTGTTACATCTCTGACTCCTAAGAGAAGAAGGAAACAGACACCTGGCCCACAGTCACCTCTAACGTCGGGTAAAATAAAGATAGAAAGAAAGGCAGACACTTGAATTCACTCATCTTAACTTCATTTTATTACAACATCGAGGAACATAGTTGCAGGAGGAATGAAAATGTAGAGAAACATAGAGATTAGGCTACTCACAATTCCATTGTCTATACCTTTCTACAAGGGTATAAATATCACAGGTTTCTGTACATGCATTGGAGGTTTGCTGTGCGTGGGTGGATTGTGTGTGGATGACTTCTCTCTAGGGTGTTGTTCTTTTCATTTCTTGACAGATGATGGTTGAGTTTGGTGTTGTCAGGTGGACTCAGAGGGGGCTCTCCCGCTAGGACTGAGACCCAGCCTTTTTCTTCTGGAATTTTCTGAACTGAGACTGAATGGCCACCGCTGCACGTTCTGTCTCTGGCGCATCCATGTCAATGTCAAATTCCTCCTGAACTTTCTTCTGTCCATCTGTGGCAAGAAAAAGACAAACAGAAGACAATCACTGAGCTGAAAATAGGGAAGCAGTGACTTAGTGAAAATAGTTAAGTGAAGCCCGGCAGTCCACCTTGGGACACACACAGGGGCTTGACTTATGCCCCAGAACAGGAGCTCATTTGCAAAGTAAAATCCAGTGGAGTGTTTCAACAGAGCTCAGAGTCTACACCTGAGCAGGATGGTGAAACTCAAGGACACAGTCTCACCACTTCATGTATTTTCTGCACATAATTTTCGTTCTCAATGACCATCTTGACATATGGTTTTAATACTGGCTGTGCTGTGACTTTCTCCTGCTATCCTACATAGGTACCATCTGAATATTGCTAAGATATTGATCCAATGGTAGCTAATAGTCACAACAACTGAGTTAGCAAAGTCCTACACTGAGTTTCTTTGGGTAATTCTGTGTGTCATTCTCAGGTAAGATTTGCTTATTGCAATCAGGGCTTCCTTTTTATCTTCATCAAGACAGGGTGACACCATTTGACCTCCACGGTTTGGCTGAACTTTCACAAAGCTTATGTCCTTGATCCTGTGAGGCAGCCCTGACAATGGGCTTGCTAAGGTGGAAGGATTTCACCAATTCACACGCTGACAGGATATACAGCCGGGGGAGCAAAGGCTTGGGCCGTCTGCACTGTGTACCTTACTACAGCCTGGGGCCAGTGCAGCCAAGAAGGGAAAACAAATAAATCAATAAAATTATTGAGTCGTGGAAGGTAAACGTCTTTCAAAAGCCTCTGGTCTGATGAGACCCAGCACGTTCAGGGTGTATGGCTGTAGAGTGTGTAGCTTATGCTGCTCGGGTACTGGGTGTGTCAACATCTTACAAATCACCGCTGAAGAATGTACTCATGTAACCAAGCACCACCTGTCCCCCAAAAAGCCACAGAAATATAAAACTAAAATAAAATAACGAAAGCCTCTGGTCTAATGAGACCCGGTGTGTACAGGGTGGTGTGCCTGTGAGTGTATAGGGTATACTGCCCAGGTACTGGGTGTGTCAACATCTTACAAATCACCACTGAAGAATGTACTCATGTAACCAAGCACCACCTGCTCCACAGAAACCTATGGAAATAAAAAACTAAAATAAAATAACAAAAGCCTCTAGTCTGATGAAGACTAAACATCAGATTCATCAAAGGCAACTTTTTTCTTTTTCTTTCTTTTTTTTTAAATACAGACATGGGGGCCCCACCTCAGACTCTGGGCTTCGCCCTTGCACAGTCGCAGTGGGAAGGGTGCTCCTGAGAGCAAGATTGGTGTCGAGAAATCCGTGTCCCTGGGGGAGGCCAGACATCTACACTTTTTAAAAAGGCTCTCAGGTGTGGCCAGAATTGAGATCCAAGGACAAAGGAGGCCTTGGAGTTAGCTCAAGCCAGAACCGGGGACAGAATTCACCTCTCCTGGGACCTGGGCCAAGAGCCTCACTGCCAGCCTGGACTTGCACCTAGAGCAGGGGAGGCTGGCCCTGTGAGGAGCACAGCCAGCCTGGAGGTGGGAGAACTGGGGGCATTCTGAGGCAGAGGAAAAGCCCTAGGCAGGGAGCAGAGCGCAGCCTCTATTCCTGACTGTCACCAGGCAGCCTGAGTTCATCCACTACCTTGTTCAGGGACTTTGCATAATAATCCTCAGGCACCAGCACTATCAGAGAGGGTGGAGGAAGCTGGGGTTCCTTGAAGACTTAAGGTAAGGCCTGCCTGTTCTCTCCTGCTTGCTCTAGATAGATGATAGATAGATAGATAGATAGATAGATAGATAGATAGATAGATAGATGATAGATAGATAGATAGATAGATAGATAGATAGATAGATAGATATAGATGATAGATAGATAGATAGATAGATAGATAGATAGATAGAGGCCTGCCTGTTCTCTCCTGCTTGCTCTAGATAGATGATAGATAGATAGATAGATAGATAGATAGATAGATAGATAGATAGATGATAGATAGATAGATATAGATGATAGATAGATAGATAGATAGATAGATAGTAGATAGATAGTAGATAGATAAAGGCCTGCCTGTTCTCTCCTGCTTGCTCTAGATAGATAGATGATAGATAGATAGATAGATAATAGATGGATAGATAGATAATAGATAGACAGATAGATGATAGCTAGACAGACAGATAATAGAAAATAGATGGATAGACAATAGAGATAGAGGACAGATAGTAGAAGATAGAGATAGAAGATAGATAATAGATAGAGATAGAAGATAGATGATTGATAGATAAAGATAGAGATGGATAGATGGACAGACATAGATAATAGATACATACATAATACATATATACACACATATGTAGATGATAGATAGGTACAGACAGACAGGTAGGAGATAGATGAGAATCAGCACTTATTTCAGATGTATCTGGCTGGGTGACATTTCCTCTGCAGATCCATGAGCAGCCTCCTCTCAATTTTCCTAGAGCCTAAGCAGCTTCCACCTGGAGCCCTTCAATCTCACCCTCACCTAGGAGGAGGGAATGTCAGCTCTGGCTTTGCAAGCCTTGTAGGACTGAAGGAGCCATGACCCAAATCAGACAACCGTTTTCTTCTGTTTCAAACTTGCTGCCCATGCTCATGAAAAAAGAGATTTTGAGTATGCCAATATTCAGGAATATTTCAGAGGCAGCGGAGGGGGCTGCTTCCTTTTTAATCTGTGACAGCCCAAATGATACAGGGGACAAGTGGAACTGTTTCTCACACTCCAGGGAGCTATTCACATTTTCTTCGACATTGCCGGGGCCCTTTCTTTGGAGAATAATAAGGGGTAGAATCACTGGGAGAAGTAAAATTTTCCTGTGGCTCAAGTGGATGATGCAAAAGTAGTTAATTAATGTTATCACATAAGCCTAGAACTGGAGGGCAAGCGTCTAGCAAACCCAAAATGCAGATGGCTCCAGTGTTTGTGCTGATGGCAACAAACCCTTTAGTACCAACAGCATCCTTGGTGAGGCAGCATCTACAGCACCCTTGGTGAGGCAGCATCTACAGCATCCTTGGTGAGGCAGCATCTACAGCATCCTTGGAGAGGCAGCATCTACAGCACCCTTGGTGAGGCAGCATCTACAGCATCCTTGGTGAGGCAGCATCTCCAGCATCCTTGGTGAGTCAGCATCTACAGCATCCTTGGTGAGGCAGCATCTACAGCACCCTTGGTGAGGCAGCATCTACAGCACCCTTGGTGAGGCAGCATCTACAGCACTAGGAATTGTCATTTTTCATAAGGTGTTTATAGCCCAAATCTGTTTACTCCCAGAGGAATCCTTGCATCAACTGTACAGTGAGTGCAAAGGGGAAAAATTCACTCTGATTCCAAGTAGGAGGAGAAATTTCTCTTTTAAATTTAAAATTTTGCTGCAGCCTGAAGCGTTTGAAGGGTCTGATTCACCTTTCTCCTTTTATAATAATGGAAGAAAGCGGCAACATTATTGTTTTGACAGATGACAAATGAAGACACAGAAAATTACGTATATTTAGGAAATGTATAAGGAAACAGTGAGGACAGGTTATAAAAAGCAATTTCACATTTATGTCCTAAACTAACATCTCAGCCAAAAGTAATCAATTGATCCCTCATTGGAACAATATTACATTGTTTAAAAAAAGAAACACTAACGTTTAAGGAATCACTACTTTCTGTGCACTTCAGAGGGTCCAGCATTCCCAGGGGAGGGTCAGATGCTATTAGAGGAGTGACAGGAGGTCCTTCCACTGAGCCAGCCAGGAGTGTGTGAGTTAGAGAATGGGGACCCGGCTGCAGTGGAGAAGGGGCACTTAGACTCGGGGGCACGGGTTCAATACACATGATCTGTGGTCCTGGAAGTCAGGAAAGCACAGTTCCAAATACCCCAGATTCCACAGGCATGAGGGTGGGGAGGAGAGTAATGGAAGGGACCACAGCCAGGCCTCCACTCCCAGAACCACTCTTTAGGGCCTTGGAACCTGCCAGTTCCCGAAGAATGACCCCAGTGATAGTGACCAGGGCACAGGCGCCGGGTGGTCGTATGAGGAGCCTCCCCAGCCCTCATCACTCTGGGGCAGAAGCAGGGATGCAGCACAGGGGGCTCTTTCTATGGCTGACACCCACAGGGAAGACCTCAGCCATGCCTGCTGGGAAAGCTGAAGAGCCCTAGGAGATGACATTCCCCGAATATGGCCCCTAGGGCCACGCCACACCCCCAAGCCTGCGCTGCAGTTCCCGGCGTGATCACTACCCGTTACTTTGTTTCTTTCCTCCCTGCTTTGTCCTGTGCCTCCCACACTAGAGTGTGAGCTCTGTGAGGGTAGGGACTTTATCTGCCTTGTTCCTGCAGCTTACATAGGACCCAGCACACAGCAGGTGCTCAATTAAAACAGTTGATTGCAAGTGAGCCCATTTATTAATATGCTAGGCAGATATCAAACGCATACTTCTATCTGGAGGACGAAACAAGCAAGGTGCTCTCCTTGGCACCCATTTAACTTCAGTTTGTGAGGCGGGTCCTTGTCCCCACTCCTCGCAGCATTGTCATGGAGGAGGGTCTCAGCGGGCCTCTAAGAAGGGCGTGTGTCTGGGAGCTGTCCTGGCAAAGCCAGTCAGGCCAGCCAGAGGAGCACAGCCCACAGGTAGCACTGCAAGGAAGATGGAAAACCTGGCACCTGAGAATGACGTCAGGCAGCACTGCTGCTTCATGGGGAAAAGCCTCAGGAAATGCTCAAGCCCAGATGGAGAGAAGAGGGGCACAGGCATCCAGGGGCAGACATCCAGACCTCAACAGGCATGCAGGGAAGAGGAAGGCACACATGTGCCCTCATGCCACTGGGCCAGGACCTGTGGCCCCAGAGGAGCCTGTGGGGACCCAGCAGAGCCAGAGAAGCTCCAGGCAGGTTTTTGAGCCTCTCCTTGCCTAGAACAGAGCCTGGCACCAACACCTGGCCAGGGAATAAACAAAACATGTGGCCAGGCACAGTGGCT